TCGCCCCCGGCGGGGAGAGCTGCGTGGCCGGCAGCCGCTTTGCCCACGCGTGGCTCCGGGCGCTGCATCGCCGGTCTAACACTGACCCCCAGTGTCTGGCAGCTGGTTGAGCCGAGCCGCTGCCCGGAGCCGGCAGCCCGGCTGCCCCAGCGCCCAGTCCTGCTGGGGCGCCCAGCTTTGCTGCGGGGACTAGCTGAACAGGGAACAAGGTTAAAGCGACTGTTAGGTTTGATGTAAATTAAACCATAACCCCTGTAGCAAAACGACATGAAAAAGAAGAAAGTGGTGGGAAGAGGATGTTTGTTTGCATGACTGCAGTTAAAGCAACTATTAAATTAAGTCGGGAAAAGATTTCTGTAAGCTGTTGTTCTGCTTTTCAATGGCAAGGCTAAGTTGCCATGCTCCATGTAATCAGATTCCTGGAGCACTGGTAATGATTTGGTATCAGTGGGATGCTTTGTGCTGGGAGAGATTTACTTGCGTTTTGTGAAACGCTTTAAAAATCAACACCGCTCAAAGCAATTGAGGTCTTTGGAAGGGTAGGAAACCTTGGGCAAATCGGGTGCCCTGAATTCATTGGTTAGTGTTTGCAGAGTGCTTTGGAAAGGATTTGCCATGCAAACACGAGAGATCATTGCGAAAATTGGGTATGTGCATCAATAGCGGGGAGGATCCGATTGCCGGCAGCGGGCAGGGGTCCGGCATCTCCAGTGGTACCCGTCACAGGGAGGTCAGTGCCATACAGCTCCTCAGCCAGACAAGTATTACAACTGTCCAGCTGGAGATGGGTTCTCTGTATTCTCTGTTTCTCAGACGTCCCTTAAGGTTTTTCATTAATGAATTTCATAGTTTTTCCTCTTTGCTGCTCTTTCTTGCAAAGCCTGTGTACTCCGCTCAGTTGTGTTAATTTCTTCAGATACTAGCTTTCCACATTCGGTTCTTGATAAGATACTAGAAAGAAATCCAAAACAAGACTCAAAAAGAGATTTCTCACATGGCAAGCACAAAGTTTCATTATGTATCATAAATTCCCTATTATTTCTATGTCAGGGCTCTCTGGTGTGAATACTCTTCGGTAGTGAAAATGAAGGCCTTATTCAATTTGGGTGGTGCAAAGGTACTCAAGACAGCAGTCTTCAGGACAGCTGCATCAGAGAGTTGCAGACTGCCTTGAATGTTTCGGTTCTAGCTGGGATACCAACTCATCAGAAATTCGTCCAGGAGACAGTGCCTCTGGGAGCCCAAGATCGGCAGTTCAGTATTCACTGTCATTACCTGAGTTGGCATGACAACATCGTTTGACAGGAGAGAACAACCGCTAAAAAGTTGTGTCTTCAAATCTTGAGCGAAAGACTAATCCGTACTGCTAGCGCTTGCTCTGCCGAGGAGGCAGCGAGGGCAGCGGGCAGGAAGGATGCCGCAGTGTGGTCTAGACAGGGAGCGAGGCTCCCTATGTCAGTTTTCAGGCAGTGGACCCTCCTCCTGCTTTCTCCCCAGGTGCTGCTAATGAAAAATAATCCAGCCACCTTAACTAAAAATAACTTCCCCACAGCAGGAAAAGACCAGCCAGTGCTCCTGCTGGATGGCTGTTTAGTTTGATAGACCTCTCATTCAACAGTTAATAGCCAGTATGTTTACAGGCAACATTTTTTTTGGCTGCTGTCCCTAGCATGTCACTAATGTTTAGCCAAATGAACTGGGAGGATTATAACAGACAGGGACACTGGTGCAAGTGACAGGCGCAAAGACAAGTGCTGCAAGAAGCTAATTTACACATCGAGTTTCACAGCCTGAACCTCCCTTCCTGCTCAATAAGCTCATCAGCTGCTGCTTTATACCCGCCAGCCAGCTTTCATAAAAATGAGGGAGCTCACAAAACCTTTTTTTTTTGGCCTGCCTGCTTAGACAACAGATTCTAATAAAAACCACTTTTTAATATTGTTGAAAATAAATCCTCTTTTATGTGGAAATGTGGATTTAATGTACATAGTTTGTGCTGCTCTGATTCTCTTTAAGGGCTGCTTGGCTGTTAGCAGTCCCTGCGTAGCCTTTCAAGTCGCTCAGGAGACACTGCCTGCTGCTGAGACGTGGACTGATCTCAGAGGGGATCTGCATTCTCGCTTGCCTCTCCCAGGGTGCTCTCCGCACTACATGACAGCTGTTTTCTCAGAGAGGGATCAGCCGTATTTCAGAAAATGCAACAATACCTGCAGTTGTGAAACTGCCACCGCTTTCCCACAAAGTAACATGGTTAAAGGGGGGAATGTTGTGACTGCAATACAAGAGCTTTGTGAGGGAGCCCTGGCATCCTGGCTTCATCTGCGTAAGGTGCTTTGCCCCTTGGAAGTGTCCGAGGTCACCCCGCACAGTCTCAGGTGCTTGTGGTCGTGTACCTCCACCGCCAAGTGCTGCCACAGACTGTGAGGCCACATCTGTGCTGGGTCACCGAAGCACATGAGGCTCCTTAGGGCTTAGCCACCCCTGCCCTCTTTGCTCTAATACGCAGGTAAATTAAAACAACGACCAAGTTTTCCAGCTGCTGAAATGCTTGTTCTTCAGCCGGTTCTAGTCCCCTTCTGTTTACAAGACAGTGTAAGTTTTCACTGCCTAATAAAAACAATCATTTGTATTCCGTGGCTGCAAGCAATAACACTGTGAGAGAGTAGAGCAAGTCAAGAAGCTTTTGGAGGGGAATATGAATTATCTCAGCCAGAGAACAAAGCACAGGACCCCTGAGCACCGAGAGAAATTGCAGAACAACATATCAGGCATGTCTCCAAACCTCTGCAGTTTAACTGGGAGACTTTATGCTTTTGAGAAAAAATGGCTTACTTGAATATTCCCATAGGTACATTCCTGCCACTTATTTCTGCAATTTAAATTGTTGCTCATGTTTTTTAAGGCCAGGATGAACGGAGAAGCGTTTTATCAGCTAAGTTGAATTGAGGAGCACAGGTAATACCCCCAAACCACTGAGATTTGTGGCATGGCTCTGCAATGAGTAAGAACATTAAAGGCTGCTATAAAGAAACAAGTTCCTGTGCCCTCAGTCGGACAGAATTATAAAAATCCCCACAGCGTCCTCGAAGTACTGAATTAACAGAAGAGAGATCTGTAGTTTAGTGTGATGGATAGAGCCCCTGGGCTCCATTGTGGCAGACGCTGCCGTCCCTCCTCTGGCATGGACTGTCAGGGCACGCAGTACCTACAATTTCTTGAAATGGGCAAGCGTGCTACCTCGCCTCCCCCAATAAAATAAGTGAAGATAATTATATACTTAAATCTAGGTGTCGGGCTGCTTTGCTACACAGAAATTCATCTGCTATCATCAGAATCCTTGAAGTTAAAGAGGGATCTGAGTTACTGACATAATTTGCTCCCTGAGGGCTGTGGAAACGAACTGAGAGGCATATCTGAATAATAACTCCCCGACCGCACATCTTATAACCGGAGCTAGTGTCGCTCCAGAAGGAAGACACAATGGGAAGCAAATGATCTGAAACGTTTATAACCTATACAGCGATCAGGCAGAATTTGTTTTTTCCCCCAGGCGGCAGCCCATCAGGGAGATCCGGAGACAAGCTCCTCTGTTTTCACTTTACTAAAGCTTATTTTAATGTGGGCCAAGCCCGGGGTCTGGGCCTGTGCAATGGGCTGGGGCTGGCTGCCCTGCTCGCAGCAGGCCCTGAGGCGGGCCCCCCGCCCAGGCCCCGCCTCGCCCCACCACCGAGCGGGGACGAGGCCTCCCTTCGCCCCTCGTTCAGGCCCGGAGGGGCCACCTGCCCGCCCGGTACCCGGGGCGCCAGGCGACGGCAAGGACCGGCTGGCCCGGCGGGGGCAGG